GTTGGTAGGCATTTGGTCGGCAAATATTCTAAGCAATCTTGTAACCATAAGTCAGTTTGCAACGTAGGCAGAAATACGTCAAAGCCCAATAAGGTAATCTAAAATCACTTAAATTTAAACTGAAATTGTGACTCAACCTAGTTGAGCGGGTCTTAAAATAGACCAGTGTGATTCGGATCGGGGTTTACCCTAAATTATCACTCTAGTCGTTAAATAGTTTTGGATTTGATAAATTGCTATGAGCAATTTTAACTCAAGGTTCATCGTGAATAAATAAGTGATTGTAAATATCGTTCATAAAAATAAAACAAGTTGCACATCATTTAACAAACAAATCATGTGATACACGTTTAAAGTAGTTCAGTTTTATGGTTTAAAGTACAACCAGAATACATTTCTGCACTCACAAGATAGATTATAAGAACTGTACTTTAAGTACTTTCGGACTATGTTTAACTATGGAACCGAGAACCAACATTCCATACTATTTCGGGTCAGTCAACTGATTTTATCTACATTCCACTGTTGATGTTCATGCTGAAATTTGAACGAATTGTCTATTGCTTCAACCCTCCCCTTCAATAAGTTATACGCTAAGATTTTAAGTTCATTTAACAATTAACTAGTCCAACGGGTATGATGTTTATTATCCGGGGTTGAATTTTCATCACTCTCCTTTGGAGTGTATATATACATTTAGCGTATGCTTTGACCTGGTAATATTCATATGTCACCATTTAGTTGAATTGGGGAAGTTACTTATACTGGAAGTTAGGTATTTATACTTTCGACTTTTATTACTAGGTTTCTGAAATTCATTTTAAATTTATTCTGATGTTACGAGTATATGAAGATTTCTGTGAAAAAAAACTTGCCAGGTGACTCAATAAATCGTTTAAAATTGTCAAAGACTATAGCAAATATTAACTACTCATTGGGAAGAACACGAATGGTTACATATTCTACATAAGATAAGTGAATTTTTAGTGTTATTAAGGTTACTTTTAATTTGCAAATACGAACTGCCACATTCGTATCAGAAGATGCCAAGCGTTGTCTTTCATATCTAATTATAACTCACATATAATTAGTAGAATCTGATAAATAAAAATTATCTCATAAATTTAGTGTATGCTACTTATGCTGGCAGATATAAATAATATGTACCAGCAATCGAGACTGGAATGCTTGCTAGCAGAATTTTGAATTGTAGAAAACAAGAAAGGAAACACAAGGCAATTGGAATAACAACATAATTGGGAGAATCATGAATTATGTAAAGGATAACTGATAGATGTGCAAATAATGTATTTAATGTATAGTTTTCATAAGTAACTAAAGCACTGTGTAATTTTGCATTAAACAATAAATTGGTTTACCCCACTTCGTCATTGTTCACTACATAAGATTTAGCTTACTTCTGTTTTTGTGAGAAATAGGTTTATATTCATCTAGCTTCATCATTGTTTTTAGTTAATTGTTCAATTGGTTAAAAGATATCTGTATGAAGTTAACTGAATCCAAAACAAATACGAATAACAAAAAATTAATTTATTTTGTGTCCTTTATAATTTGATTACTAAACTTGTGTTGTAAAATTATTAAGTCATATTGGTAGAATATACTGTGTATATTCGTCGATTTAAGTTGAAAAATATATATGGTGAATTGTAATAAGAAAACTAGATATTATGTAGATATAATATAAAAATGTTACATCGGATAGTAGTAATAATAATATAAAAAAATAAAAATGTAATAATTAATATTTTGGTTGCAAGGAGTAGAATGAGAGATAACGGAGATTATAAAAATGAGGTTGAGTCATGGAGCTAATAGTATAAAGCTTAAGTAAAATAATCTACCCAAGAGTTAGTTGGATTTGGAATGTCTAGGTTGAAATGAAGTAGCTAAATGAACTTTATGAGAATTCATCCAGAGAACAAACGTAATCATATGACCTTTAGTAAATTATTTGAAATGTCATAGATTTTATAATACTCGACTTCCATTACTAGTCAAATGAAGTAAGATGGTGTTAATTAGTTGTACACAACTATGGGCATGTTAACAGAATAAGTCTTGATTAGCATTTCCTGGGAAAAGCTTCGGGATAGATGGATAACCAAGAATCCCCATATATATATATATATATATATATATATATATATATATATAACCAGGCATTTCGAATTGTTAATTGTTAAGATTAAATTATATGATGGTAGAGCCATCTTAAAGACTGGTTACACTTACAAAAAGTTAACAATTAAATACACTTTGAGGCTTGAAAGGTCTAGACCCGATTCCATAGGTGAACAATGATATAATTATGGAAATACTTTAGAGTTGGTGCTTCTAGCTTTCTTTCAACTAGTAGTAATAATACCCTAAAATACACTTACACATTCGTTTTATACAATTTGGTCTAGGGAATAATATATTTTCCATATAAATGATACGGAACTTGTTACTCGAGTAAGTTGTATTTGATGACATACAACCATATCAGAAGTGAAACAGATATCAGCAGAATTATTGAATAATCGTCGAGTTATATTTCTACAATACTCTTTTTATTTCAATAGTTAATAGTGACCAGTTTTATTTGATAGGATTATTTGATTATAATTACCTTAATAGCTGGAATTTTTCCATTTTATTTATTTATGTTTTATTACAATTTAGACGAAAACACCTAACTTCGTAAATAATTTAGTAAACACCATTAGTGATATCCTTTATTTAAACAACAGTTCTGAATAATATTTACTGACTTAAAGGAAGTAAAAACTTGGTTAGTTGGTGAAACTATAGATAAATAAATTGTTTATATGAGAAAGGGGGGTTTTGTGGAGATTGTAGTAGTTTAATAGTTAGATTTAGATACTTAAAAGAAAAAAAACATAGCAGCTATTCTATTTTATTTTATTAGTCCTGTTAATAAGCGATTCCGTTGATCGTGAAAACATGTAAATACTTTTAAATACCTGATTGTCGAGGCTTGTAATATAATACAATTCAAAAGTGCATATATATTTGGATAAGTTAGGAAGAAAATGAAACATGACTGGTTGAATCAATTGGAGCATTTGATATCTACAACGGGAAAATATAAACTCTTACAAGTAACTTCCAACATGTTGAGTAAATTAGTGGATATTTGGATTGATTGCATTAATGGTTATATTTTCAGTAGTAAGATTTGTTGATAAATTGATTCTTGAATGAACAGTAATTTGACTGAAGGTTTAAATTAATCCTTCTATAATATCACGAGCTTTCAGTGTGGAAGAGCGTCACCCCCGGAAGAAACAGCTGTCCAGTACGTTTTGACTCTCGGTATTTTTGTTGTTGTTATTTATCCACCACAGAATTTATCTTCAATTTGATAGGACTAATGCCATACTGTTTTGCTGCTTATTAAAAACTTTTAAGATGGTGAAATGTAATCCAAATGAGTAATATCTAGAAAAGAATAGATGATTTTGAAAAGTTAGATTAGTTTCACTGACCACTCAGGTTGTATATATTAAATAAAAGACAATTTGTAGTTTATTTTGAGAACGCGTTGATATATATATATATATATATATATATATATATATATATATACTCTGGTGAAATGATAACAGTCATTCTACATTTTTTATTCATTGACTTTGTATACAAGTCTTTTGATGAGTGTATTCTTCTGGTGTAAATTACAGCAATGAAATTCCATCGTTTAGACTGCGAATAATGATGAGGTTTTAGATATTAAGGTCAGATTTACCGTTTGTGTAATAAAATTTATCAGTTGATGAATTAGTGAATATGCGTCTGCGTAGAATGTTACTCATGTTGGATATCTTCTACTTAGTTATCCAATGTTCTTTAAAGTGAGAGCGTATCAAAGCAGGTTTTGTGACTATCAGATTAATACATGTTCAACTATAAAGGTGAATTTGTTTATCTGAGTCATAAAGGAAAATGAAATCATCGCAGTTGTGCTCTTCATGTACTCTGCTAACACATAAGGCAATATGAGCTGGTACATTACGTCAAAAGTTTGTCAACTCTTTCGTTTGTTTTTTATGGAAGCTGCACGGTTTTGGAAAATTTTCAACGGGCAGATCTGTCTTTTTTAAAACACGATTCGAAATCAGCTCAAAAATTACTGCAAGTCAGGAAACACTGAATATCTGTCTCATCCTACTTTGGTTGTCCTATAGTGGGTGTCCCATTATAAAATACTGAACCAAAACCAGGACTTTTACGTCTTGGGATAAGCACGGCGCTTTTCACTTGCTGAACTAGTATCTGCGTGATGAAAACCCTGAACTAGTATTTAATAATCTACATTTCCAAACTCCTGTTAATCTGGATATTGCCTAGGCATTCGTAATGTACGGTTCATTAGAATTTAACTATCTAGGCTGGTAAAAGAACAAAAGTTTAAAGTGAATTAGGAAATATAATATTTAAATATGTTGACTAAAGGTACTTTTTGTCACAAAATGAAGTCATTTACATTTTACTATGAAAAAGTGGGTAAAACAATTAAAATGGAAGATGTATATACATTTCAGTCAGTATTGTAAATTCACAACACTTCTAAATTATGCAGTTATTCTTTCTAGAATAACATAGGTCGATAAACTATTTATTTATATTAAGTTTAATAACTGAATTTGAAAGCCAAACACAAGTTAAATTTATATTTAAATAAACATAACCAAAATCTGTGCCTGCTTAGTACTTCTTGTTTTCTTTGCAGTTGTCATGGTAGAACGATGGAGTGATGCTTTATGAATCGATTTCCTATTCTCACAACAATTTCGGCTTTCACTTTAATCAATATCACAACCATTATAGTATGAAAGTATTCAATAACTGATAAAGTTGATTTATTGCTAGTGTTTTGATGAAAAACACTGAACATCAGTTTTATTAAATACAATTATATTTTCATGTATTTTTATTCTTTCTATCGAAATATTTTTTTTCAATTTTCTAAGGTATGCAACATGTGCAAGGACATCCATATAATCCAACTCTCATGAATGGTTCATTAGTTTCATCACATATGAATAATGAAGCATTAAGTTTACAAAAAGCTTTGTCTAATATGCATGCAAGACATGATATAATTTCACATTCTATTCAAGAAATGGAAGAAATTAATACAAAAGTATTAGCACATCGTATAAGTTCAGAATTAAAACGTTATAGTATACCACAAGCTGTTTTCGCCCAACGTATTTTATGCAGAAGTCAAGGCACATTATCTGATCTATTAAGAAATCCTAAACCTTGGAGTAAATTAAAATCTGGTCGTGAAACGTTTCGAAGAATGTGGAAATGGTTACAAGAACCAGAATTTCAACGAATGTCCGCTTTACGCTTAGCTGGTGAGTACTAAATTATTATCTTCATATTAATAGGTTTTAAAAAAATTATATTACTCATTTACTTCTTGTTAATGAACTATTTCAAGCTTTAATACGAACTCAAGCAAATACTTATGAATTTATTTGAAGGTATTGTACTGAATTATTCTCATTTATTTTGATGAACGGCTTAGTGAGTAAGAATACTGTGAAGATTAATTATAAATTAAGTGTTGTTTTTTGTAAGTATATGATTTTATTTCATTAATTATTATTCTAACGTCTATGGACTGTTACGATAGTCTATAGAACTGTCAAAACTGTCGTTCAAATATTCACGCTTTGATTAGGAAACTGACATCAGCCATCCCTCTTTGTATATAAATCGTCACCATATACAAATTGATTGTTTTGGTAGTATCATTCATATTTTAAGTAAACACTGATAATATCGTTCAGAACAACAATGAAAGCTATTAAACTACTTATTTTCAGAATCTTATTTCAGGAATGGTTTAAAGAGATTTCAGGAAATGAAGTGCCTCAGCAGTTTTTATATCCAAGGAGTTGTACGTAGTTTTTAAAAGTTTGTGGTCGCCAAATTGCTTGAAGGATACTAAAAACGAATATGATATTTTCATTAGTAGAGTGAGTGTAATGTCTTAATGTGTTTCATGAAGTAGTTTTGCTATTCAGGAATGGAGTACACCATATGTGAATAGTACGTATTTCGATCAATGGTACTCTCAATAGATCAGAAGGAGTTTATGGAGCTACCAAACATTGATTTTAGTTTTATTCAATTCTAGTTAAGTGGGGTGCATTGGTTGGTGATGTTAGAAACTTTTTAACATTAATATTCCTTGTATATATATTGTAATTGTTAATCGATTTCCTGATTTAAGTGAATTAAGTAAAGGCCTACACGAACTGTTCGATAAATTATTTTGATACATTTAAGAAACTGTATGTTTTCATTGTCTGGTCTTTTTGATAGCCTTAATATAGGATTACGGACTTTCAGATTATTTGGCTGAGAATCAATAGTAGCATTACACATGTATCTACCACTTAATTTGCAGAAACTATTTTCTATTATATTCCATGCCTTCTATTTTCCTTCTTCCTGTCTTTTTCATAGCTTCTTATTACCATCATAATTATTCACACATTATTTCTTTTGTTGCCTTCTCGGTGATTTCTCTTCTCGATATTGTAGAAAAGGACATTCTCTTTGCTGCATTATCTTGAATTCCTTTCCAATAACAATGGAATGAGTTTCTTTTACTATATTTTTATTGCTTGTGGTGACGTACTGTTATATCAGATTCTACACTGATCTTGTTTGTATATATCCTTTTAGTTGTACATGAATAGTTAAATATTAGGTACCACCTTGTCATATAGAAACATCGCTTAAGATTGTTTTATTTTAATGTGTTCAAAAAACAGAACAATTTCTGACAGATTATTACTCTAGAAAACGGTTTCATTTATTTAGAAAAAAGCAAATAGATTTCGTTTGACACCTTTGAAATGCTCATGACACTAGAATATGAAGTTAAATGACATACTATATGTACATATTTGTCAGTAGCCCCTTTTACGTTTACTTAAAAATTTCATAATCTGACAGTTGCTATATCTTTTTTAAAATTTACTTTATTTTGTGCTTTTCATTAGCTGGTTTAAACTAGAAAAAAATTGCCCGGGTCTTTTGTTGAACGCAGTATTTTGTAATGAAATGAAGATTTGAACGGAGACTCTTAAATTTGTTACATATAATATAAATTAGGTTTTCATAATCACACCGAATGAAATTTACTTAAATCTGAATTAATTTTAGTTGCTGCATCTTAATAGGCAACAATATAAAGAAAGAAGTAACCAAATAAATTAAGAAGGATTATAACTGAAATAAAGAACAAATAAATAAAGTGTACAATATGACATGTAGGATTTGTAGCTAGATCAAAAAAAACATAGATATATTCACACCATTATCACTGAATCTGAGCTCTGATCCTTGTTGATCATTGGTATTATTATAAAGACCCCATTCCGTTAGATTAAAATTTCTATCCAAAAACACAGATTCACAGTAATTGTCAAGTTTTTAACTGGTTATCGTTTACATTCTTTCCAGTCAGTCTTGGAACATTTTGTCAAGTAGTAACTCATCAAATGTTACAAGTTTCATACACTTCAGTTCCTGCAGGTTTACAGTTTTGTCAAATTATGTCCAGGTTTTCCATGGTTGTCTAACTTCAATTGACTCATGATTTCAATTGTGAAAAATACTGAAATCTCCACAAAACCCCTCGTGATTCAAATTATGTTTACATAGTTAAATACTACTGTGTCGTCATCTGATGATAAATATAATTTTAGTGTGCTGTAAAGCGAGAATGAAATGTAAAATTTCTAAATAGTTGACCATATATGTTACAGTATTATCACTAGAAATAGCCAGGTATTATGTAAAACTGAAAATATCCAACCAAATGGTGTACAGTTATTATTCTAACTAACTTACATTATTACTTACAAAACAGTTAATTTCAAACATCCTGAAGAGATTCATCTTTCAGTACTGTCAGCAATAATCAGCTTAGAGCCCGGCAAAGTTGTCATGACATATAAGCATGATGAAATGAATATAACAAGATGAATAGCAAAGTAGGTCGAAATAATGTAGTATCAATGATAATAATATAGAACAAACATTGGTAATATGACTCAGAGGCAAAAAAGAAAGGGTATATATGAAGGAGTACCGAAATTGAAAATCGAGAGAAAGATGAGTAGTGAATATATCTGGCCCGTTGAAACCTATTCCAAGTCATGGTCACTCATTCTTTAACCACCGATAATGTTTATCATGTTGACCTCGACTAGGTAGTCTGCATCTACCAGGATAGGCTAAATCAACCGTCAGTTTTGATTCGACCTCCCATAGCTTTTTCCAACCACTTTACACGCCAACAAGTTTAGCCGTCGAGAGAGACAACAGTTAAGGATATGTAACGAACCTTAACCTCCTCAATTGACATTCTACATTTGTCCAATACCTTATACTTAACCTCAACATTGGTCACCTGGTCGTTCTACGATACATAAACAATGTTGAAAAGACATCTGTGACCCAAAACCTGCTGAGCAAACCTCTGTACAGCATACTCGTCTATTGGTTGATAGATGGTCATCTCATCCATTCTTCAAGTGATAATGAATTATAATCACAACTTAATCTTTATTGCTGCGATACACCTATTGTAACTTATTAGTTAAGTAGGTAGAGATCCGAGAACATAAGTTGCATTGGATTATAGACGTTTATAGATAATCAATCCTATTAAATTACTATGATACACTGAACTTAAAGTAAATTTAGAGGTGATTGAAATTGCAAATTATCATCACTTGTATGTAGACGTAAAGTATCTATCAGTAAATAAATTTAGTGTTTGAAGCCGGAACTTTTAGATTCTATAAATGATGACTTATTCTTTGAACTGACGATAATTACTATAATCTATTTATTTATTTATACACATAAATATTGGTACAAAGGGGCACCAGATATATATGCGCCATACAAATCGAATGGGAATTGTGTGAGGGCTGTGTTACTGCCCAGGTGCCCGAACTGAAGCAGGTGGTTTTTTAGGGGGCCACACCCAGAGCCTTTGACCGAAAGATCTGATCCACAAGTCAATGGAGCATCGTGAGGAGATGCAGTCCCATGGTAGCCGTTGACCAACAATAGGTTCATACCCCATTCGTTCCATCAGGATACTGGAACCCATGTGCACCATTGGTTTGGAATCAGGGTTTTCCAACTTCCCTAGGTAGATCCTCCCTATCCACCAAACCGGTTAAAGCACCGGACATTCGCTTTTCGTCCTCTCAATTTCGTAAACAACACCCTCGCCACGAGAAGGCAGTGAGTAGGATTTCCTTGTCAGAGGCTATATACGCGTGACCATGTGAGAACATTTTGAGAGGGAGGGTGGACTTTCCCCACTCTCGGCCATACCAGGGCATTTGGGGGCTTGGAGGCATCGCCGAGATTACTATAAAATGTTAGCTGTTCAAATGAGAATGATTTCCGATGAAAACTTCCTTCTATAATTATAGTGATTACTTATTTTCCAAGATCTAACCTATACATTAATTTACCATTTGCCTATGATAACCATCATATTATCTTCAGCGCTAGTTAGATTTTACCAAATAAGTTTATGGTATTTATATCGGGTTAAATTGCTCGATAGTTTGATACTATACATTTATTACTAGAGAAGAAACGGATTATGGCCAAAGAGAAGAAAGTAACTAACCTGGGATTTCTTCCATTTGGGCCTTATTTGTAATATGTATCCGGAGTATGAAAGAGACTGGGGTGGTTCATTGTCAGATACTTCAAACCGCACCAGGTAATCATACCAGTAATGAGGTTATTACAACGACAATTATTAACCAATTAATGGACTTAATGAAGTCTTGTTGAGATTTAACCTCAAATCGCGCTATAATATATAACTCAGTCTCAGCGTTATTTGCATATTACTTTCAACCATCCCAAATGTTAGTGTATTTTTGATGCGAGATCTTTTTTAATGAAGTAAAAGGTTTTTACTATCATGTTAATTTATATCTATTTGTTCATTAGCTAGTAATATCCAATTATACTTTAATTTTAATCAACTGTTATTTATTTGTTGTATTTTTTTTGTTGAAATTGTTATTTACCTTCATTGAGAATAACTAACTTGTCAGATAATTAGTCTTTACTGTTATTTGTTATTATTGTTATAAAATTGAGGCTTTTATTAACATGTCATTACAATTATATTATTAATTAGAAAGAATTCAATTGAAAGGGATTACTGTAGGCAAAACTTTATTTTTCTCTATTATATTACATAGAAGCCACACCTTAGATCATAAATATACACTAAATATGTACAAATAGTTGTTATCGAACGTTAACTCGTTTCTATTATTGCTCATTTATA